TTCAGCAGTTTGTTAATATTTTTGTTGCTGTTGTTTTGTTTTGTTTGTTTTTTAATTGATACATAAACTTTTCTCACTTCCCAAACCCTCTGGAATTGGAAAATATTTGGGAGTATTGTTATTTAGTGACAGAATGGTTATTTGCATAAGTTCAGTAAAATCAGTTGTCGTGCATTAGAAATTGGAAATACTGGTTAAATCAATTAGTATTCTTATGGGGCTTAGTGCACATAGCAGATCAAATTGAGACTTTATTTATTGATTTATTTATTTAGCAAATAAGGTAGTTTATGTCTCTCTTTGGTAAAAGGAGGAATGGAAAAGAAAAAAATACTTCCAAGGAAAATTATAGTGCACATATTGCAAGATTTTAGCTTGGTCCATATCTGTTTTTTGAATTTTTATTATCTACCTACTGTTTGAACAGAATCCTAACCTCTTTCCTGTCTTTAAATCTTAAGCAAATTGTTCTTAACAGTTTTTTATTTTGATTTATTAAAGCTAAAACTACTTTTCTTGAAATTAAAAATACATTAAAAATAATAAAATATCAATTTAATGACCACAGTAAGCCCTGTAGCCACAGCTAGGTGCTAATTTATAGTATGTCCGTTCTACTCAGTTTTATGCCTAAAGTCAGTCACGTGTTCAAGAATCTGTATATATCAGCAGCACTTGCTATTGAAAGTATTTAGATTAATTCAGATCTTTCATGAATCAAAAAAATGTGAAAAATCTTAAAAAGTAAAAAAAAATTGGAGGTATGGGGGTATGAACAGTACAGACGGCAAAACACACACGTTGCATAATTATTTCTACAGCTCCATTCCTCTAGTGTTAAAAATACAACTAATCATTATTATTATTCTACAATAAATACTGAAGTTATATTGCATAAGAGAATAAAATTGAACTAAAAAATTAATTTCTGAATCGTATTTGCTGGGCATCATTCACCATTTCCTCAATGAATCCAATGTTTATAATACTTTTCAAGCCACTGTTTAGATTAAAATTGCACAATCAGGGATGTGGGATCCAGTCACCTTAACCAGTAGTCAATGACTCACCCAATACTTAGCTTTTAATATGGAGAGTCAAGAACTAAAAAGTCAAATAATGTGCTTCCAAACATGCAATTTAAAAAGGTAGAACAGAGACAGAATAACTGTCACCTAAAGAAGTAAAAAATGAGAGGTACATTGTTGTCACTGGTCCACAGCAATTCTGAAATTCTGCTGAGTGAGCATCCTAACATCTAAGGTTGGAAAAGGAGTTTAGGTGTTTATGAGTTTTTGTGAATACATGTGCCTGTGTGTATATGTATGTGTGTACAGGCAATTGCATCATTTAAATTCTTTTCAATTTTTTTAGGCTTTTAAAATTATAGTTGATTTTCATTAAAAATTTAAAATACCAAAGTGTAGCACAATATCTATGAAAAACATGGCACATAGACAATCTATATAATTTTATGTAAAAACATTTCTGTGTTCTAATATAAGCGTTCATGTCTATAAATGATATTGCATGTTAAGAATGATAAATTGGATTGGTATTTGTCATCATCTACATGCACTCCTTCATTTGATTGTCATGTAGTACATGCATACTTTGAAAAAACATACTACAATTAAATGTGAATAAGAAATCATAAAATTAAAAATAAAAAAGCTAAACAAATTTCTATTGTTCTATGTATTTTTTGAGAGTCTCTAATTATTTAATAATTTTTGTATGAATTCAAACTTCTTTCATTGAGATGGAATGCCTAAAATTACCTTCTATAGCTATTCACTGTAAAAAACTATAAGTGTACAGAAAAAAATGTACAGCTTCTATGATCAAGTAGTCCATAATATACCTAAGACATCAAGTTGGGAAGTCTTATACAACCATGAAAATATGTTTTGTATACTATACATTTTTTTCATAAATTTTTTGAGGGAGATAGTCTATCCTATTTTTAGATGTTTTTGACCCAGATCTTATAATATTAAAAATATATTGTTCATTTAATGAGTGAATGCATTCCTAACTGCTACTTTGATGTATTTACAGAATAGTCTTAGTGCTCTAAAAACAACTGATAATATATCACCTCCAAATAAAAACTTTTTAAGTTGATTTACTTCAGTGCTTTTGATCTCCTTTTTTGTTTAAATAACCTATCTATTTATTTATTAACATATTTATTTATTCAAGACATGTTTTCAAAGTTAAAACTGACTGTTAAAAAATGAGACAACCCCATCTTTAAAGACTGTCAGTTTGCTTAAAGATATAAAAATGTGCACATTCCATTACAAAATGAAGTAAAATTAATAGGTGGGGGACCAGCAGGACTTCCACATGGTCAACCATAGTTTAGATCCTGGATCTGGTGGCTTGCTTTCTCACTTTCCATCTCTCTCTGGTAAGCACATGTGCTCTATAGTAAAATAATAATAATAACAATGATAAATAACATTAAATAAAAGAATTCTTTAAAAAAATGTAACAGGTGAGAAGAGCTCTACGGATGATACAGGCTAAGTGCTAGAGATCACAAGGACATTAAGGATGAAAGGCAGAATGCACTTTCATAGAGAGTACTTTTGACCTGCTATTTAAAAAGGTACGAGTA